CCCCAAAACCCCAAAACCCCAAAACCCCAAAACCCCAATTATAAATCAACCTATTGATATATTATAAATTAAAATTATGACATGCTATTAACTAGACCTTTTATAGTTTCTGGTAATAGATCGAGAATCCTCTACTTGCTACACTTAAACTAGCCTAATCAAGAGACTCAGGCTGAATACTATTGGACTTTCCCAAACTAAAGCTAAAGAGAAAATTTAAAGCCATGAAGAGCATAATAGATGTTGAGAAAGCACTGAACAACCTAAAGCAAAGTTTAAAAGCTTTGCAAGTTGTGAGACAGAAGTTCTCCTCTACTGTGAAATGATAAAGGATTTAGAATACAGCTCCAACATTGTCTAAAAGAAGAGCTCCCAAATATTCAATAAGTGTCTCAACTTCAAGAGAGTGTCCTAAGGGATGTTGTTTATTTGTTACAATCAAGGTGAGAGCAAGTTAGAGTCCACCTAGAGGTTGAGATGGCATGGTTATGATTGTTCAAAAAGCTTGGAGTAAAGAATGAAGCAAGTCATTTGAAGATACTTCCCTGACAAATCAAGAATATCGTATATAATTATAAATACTTGATAAAGGCATCTAAGAATGCCTATAGATTATTTGAAAACAAGATATCTAAAATAGAGCCTCTCCATCTAGATCTCATGGTGGAGAAAATCGAGGAAAAATTGTTCAAAGGATTCGATCAGGCCTATATTGAAATTAGCATGCTATACAAGAGAGATGACTTGGATTTCATAAATATAATTTCTATTTGACAATCTTCTCAGTCACGATTTGAGCTCTAGCTACAAGAAGCTAGATGGTAGAAAACAAAAAATGAATCAGAGAGCTCCTTAAATCAAAAGAAATAACTCAGAGGCTGACATGCCATTTTTTGGTGAGTTTACTATCAACAGGAAGACACTGAATTCTTATGAATGGACAGAAAGGATAAGCTAGAGATGAAGCTTATCTGCACTTTTAAGATCAAAATGAGGTTTGTGATTTCTTACTGCATTCTCAGGGTAGGAAGATTGCTAGGAAAAATTATAAATTTTGACCAAGTCAAATACAAACACTTCTTATCAGAGCTCTATCATAAGCCAAATGGTGGTGAGATCTTGGGCTCAGAGAAAACTGCCCAGGTAGATGACATTTGTAGATTCCACAGGACAAAGATCATTAAGAAGTTTCTTTTGATACAAAAGATGAGATGAGTGTTCATTCCTTCATATTCACCTGAGGCCAACCCATGTGTAAAACTAATCAACTTGATTAAAAGCAAAATCAAGACTCTTGTGAATTAGCAAAGGTAAGCATTATACCGATTCCATAATAGGATAGTTGTCCTCTGGTACATTCAGGACATCATTGACTCTGTAGAAGGTAAGTATTGAGTTGGATTCCTCAAACCATCTTTAGAAAACTATGGGGCTGCTTGAAGTTGGGATCGATTTTGGTGAGGACATAATCTCTCACATCTAAAACTTACAAAACCAGAAAATGCTAATTATTTATAAAAATGTTTGAAGCAAAAAGGATTTGTTGGAGATTAAATCTGGGCCTAATTTTGAGCTTTGAAATTAGAAAATATCTTCTGCTAGAACTTGCTATCATTAACATTTCTGATGTCATTCCTAAGATACTAAATTATAGTATCTAATTTAGCAAAGTTAGTGCTTGGAGAATTGATACCAGAATCTTTCAATTGAACTATTAAATTCTGGGGTTTTGGGGTTTTGGGGTTTTGGGGTTTTGGGGTTTTGGGGTTTTGGGG